GGTGGGAAGGAGCCCGAGCTTGTGGGGGAGGTTGAGCGATACCGACTAGAGATAGTCGGCCTCACCTCCACACACAGCTTGGGCTCTGGAACCCAACTCCTTGAGAGGGGTTGGACGCTCCACTTTTCTGGAGTTTCCCGCGGGGAGAGGCGGCGAGCTGGGGTGGCCATTCTCATTGCCCCCCATCTCAGCCGCCACGTGTTGGAGTTCTCCCCGGTGAATGAGAGGGTCGCGTGCCTCCGGGTGGGGGACAAGTCTCTCATTGTTGTGACGGCCTACGGGCCTAACAGCAGTGCAGAGTACCCGGCCTTCTTGGAGTCCTTGGGAGGGGTACTGGACGGTGCACCGCCCGGGGACTCCGTTATTCTCCTGGGGGACTTCAACGCCCATGTGGGAAACGCCAGTGACACTTGGAGAGGGGTGATCGGGAAGAGCGGCCCCCCTGATCTGAACCCGAGCGGTGTTCAGTTGTTGGACTTCTGTGCCAGTCACAGTTTGTCCATCACGAACACCATGTTCGAGCACAAGGGTGTCCACCAGTGCACGTGGCACCAGGACACCCTAGGCCGGAGGTCGATGATTGACTTTGTTGTCGTATCATCTGACCTTCGACCGCGTGTCTCGGACACTCGGGTAAAGAGAGGGGCGGAGCTGTCAACCGATCATCACCTGGTCGTGAGTTGGATCCGCTGGCAGGGGAAGAAGCCGGTCAGACCTGGCAGACCCAAGCGTATAGTGAGGGTCTGCTGGGAACGTCTCGCTGAGCCCCCTGTCAGACGGACTTTCAACTCACACCTCCGGGAGAGTTTCTCCCAGGTCCCGGCGGAGGAGGGGGACATGGAGTCCGAGTGGACCATGTTCTCTGCCTCAATCGCCGATGCGGCGGCTCGTAGCTGTGGTCGCAAGGTCTCTGGTGCTGGTCCCGGCGGCAAACCCCCGAAACCGGTGGTGGACACCGGCAGTAAGGGATGCTGTCAGGCTGCAGAAGGAGTCCTATCGAGCCATGATGGTTCGGGGGACTCCTGAGGCAGCTGTCCAGTACCGGCAGGCCAAGCGTGCCGCGGCCCGGGCTGTTGCAGAGGCAAAAACCCGGGACTGGGAGGAGTTCGGAGAGTCCATGGAGCATGACTATCGGTCGGCCTCAAAGAGATTCTGGCAAACCATCCGGCGCCTCAGGAGGGGGAAGCAGTTCTTTGCCAACACCATGTACGGTGCGGGTGGAGAGCTGCTGACCTCGACTGGGGATATTGTCGGGCGGTGGAAGGAATACTTTGAGGTTCTCCTCAATCCCCCCGTCACGTCCTCTGTTTCAGAGGCAGAGGCTGAGGATGTTGGGGCGGATACATCCATCTCCCTGGCTGAGGTCACCAAGGTGGTTGGTAGCCTCCATGGTGGCAAGGCTCCGGGTGTGGATGAGATCCGCCCTGATTATCTAAAGTCTCTGGATGTTGTAGGACTGTCTTGGCTGACACGTCTCTGCAGCATCGCGTGGCGATCGGGGGCAGTGCCAATGGAGTGGCAGACCGGGGTGGTGGTCCCTCTCTACAAGAAGGGGGACCGGAGGGTGTGTTCCAATTATCGTGGGATCACACTCCTCAGCCTGCCCGGTAAGGTCTACTCCAAGGTACTGGAGAGGAGGCTACGGTCGATGGTCGAATCTCGGATCCAGGAGGGGCAGTGTGGTTTTCGTTCCGGTCGCAGAACACTGGACCAGCTCTATACTCTCCATCGGATACTCGAGGGTTCATGGGAGTTCGCCCAACCTGTCCACATGTGCTTTGTGGATTTGGAGAAGGCGTTCGACTGTGTTCCCCGGGGTGTCCTTTGGGGGGTTCTCCGGGAGTACGGGGTCGGAGGTCCTCTGCTGAGGGCCATCCGATCCCTGTATGACCGGAGCCAGAGCTGTGTTCGCATTGCCGGCAGTAAGTCAGACCTGTTCCCGGTGAATGTTGGCCTCCGACAGGGCTGCCCTTTGTCACCGGTTCTGTTCACTGTATTTATGGACAGAATATCTAGGCGCAGCCAGGGGTCGGAGGGGGTCCGGTTCGGAGACCACAGGATTTCATCTCTGCTGTTTGCGGACGATGTTGTCCTGTTGGCTCCAACGAACCAGGACCTGCAGCATGCACTGGGACGGTTTGCAGCCGAGTGTGAAGCGGCTGGGATGAGAATCAGCACCTCCAAATCCGAGGCCATGGTGCTCGACCGGAAAAAGGTGCCTTGCCCTCTTCAGGTGGGTGGAGAGGTCCTTCCTCAAGTGGAGGAGTTCAAGTATCTCGGGGTCTTGTTCACGAGTGAGGGAAGAATGGAGCGTGAGATTGACAGGCGGATCGGTGCAGCGTGCGCAGTGATGCGGTCGCTGTATCGGACCGTTGTGGTAAAGAGGGAGCTGAGCCGAAAGGCAAAGCTCTCGATTTACCGGTCAATCTTCGTTCCCTCCCTCACCTATGGTCATGAGCTTTGGGTAATGACCGAAAGAACGAGATCGCGGATACAAGCGGTCAAAATGAGCTTCCTCCGCAGAGTGGCTGGGCGCTCCCTTAGAGATAGGGTGAGGAGCTCGGTCACACGGGAGGAGCTCGGAGTAGAACCGCTGCTTCTCCACGTCGAGAGGAACCAGTTGAGGTGGCTCGGGCATCTGTTCCGGATGCCTCCTGGACGCCTCCCTGGGGAGGTGTTCCGGGCACGTGCCACCGGGAGGAGGCCCCGCGGAAGACCTAGGACATGCTGGAGGGACTATGTCTCTCAGCTGGCCTGGGAACGCCTTGGGGTCCCCCCGGACGAGCTGGAGGAAGTGTGTGTGGATAGGGAAGTCTGGGCGTCTCTGCTTAGACTGCTGCCCCCGCGACCCGGCAACGGATAAAGCGGAAGAAAATGGATGGATGGATGGATGGATTCAGAAAGTTTTTTTCTGAATTCACAAACTACTGCAGCAACTTAGCGTAGCCAACAGATATGGCAATCCATCAGAAGTTTCATTCATCCAACCATTTTCTTTATCCTCTCTCCATGCAAACTACTCCATGATAAACAACATTGGGCTCAAGGGGAACCCCAAGGCGTTCACTTGCCTTCTAGGGGATGAGTCCTTCCAGCGTGTCCTCCTGTGTGACTGAGCTCCTCTAAAACCTCAAACCCACTGGCTGTGTCTCTGTTTCTCTTCCTGTCAGCCACACGTAAACGAGAGGGAGGCCACGTTCCCATTCAATCTGGTGTGTTTGGCTCTTTATGGCTGTGGAAATAATGTCATCAGTCTTGTATCACATCTGTGTAAAAGTCAGTCGATTCAACTCACTATTCATGGTGTTAACCGAAATTAAGATTAAACTGAGATGTTTTTGATCTATATGTAGTCTATTTTACACAACCAGTGGGTTTGCAGACTGCGGGAGGGACCATCCATTTTTATTCCGACTTCCACAATCTTGTCCTTTTAGACATTACCCAAAGGTCATGACCATTGGTGAGAGTGAGATCGCATTCTAACCAGTAAATCTTGTAAAATAGCTTTGCTTTTCGACCTCCCGCTTATCCACACACACACACACACACACACAACACTGATCAGTCTTTAAATCGCTCCATCCTTTTCACTAAGGGGTTTTATTTGACCCTAAACCTGATCTGTTTCTGTCTGTTTCTGGGTTAGTTCTATTGTCTATTGTTCATACACTTTGCGCGCTTCTCCTTTGGGAATACTTTCTTTCCTATTGAAAAATGGCATTGCACAAACACATTATCGCTGAGTCATGTCTCAGTAGGTCAGCTTTAGTTGTATGTGCAGAGTCGCTGCTGTCACTGACATTTAGTGGACACTCTCTGAATTCTGTCACTACTGCTACATCATTTATAAGCACAGGTTCAAAGGTGACAATATACCATTATTCATAAGTGCAGCTAACATTTGTACTGTCTCCTGCTTCGTGAGTCTGGTGTTTTCTTTTGTAAGTGAAGGAGGCGTGGTGTCTTTTCTCCCAGTGAACAGGAACAACAACAGGAGAGTTTGATGTGAGCAGCTTGATGTGTCACATGCACAGAACACACAAATATGCTTCATGGATCACTCAACCTTCATAAAGTATGTGGTCTGTTTCTGCTCCACATGTTTGACCAGGACAAAGCTTGCAGATGATGTAATGTGGTGCTAATTTACTGCTGCTTTAAGCTCTTAAGTTGTTTGGTAAATTCTGACATAAGCAGTTTGTGGCTTCATAATTTAAGTCAAATTCAGGTGAACTACATTTCATATTACCTGCCAATACTTCTTCACAAACTGCTGAGGACCAAATGTCTGCTGCAGATTGATCGCTTGTCACACCGTTGTTGTTTATCTACTCCCCATGAAAGCTTTTTTCCATAATTTCCGTAAATCAACAGAAAATGGCAGTGTGCATTGGAAACAGGTTTAAATCTCATTTCAATCAATGCTGTTATTTCATGATTCAACAGCTGGCTTTCTGTCAGCACTCCCATCAGCTTCATCTGCCTCTGACATGCCACTATACTCTGCTGTGTTCAGTATTCAATTAAATGCAATGTTTTCTGGGTATGAGAGCTTGGTGGTTTTTGACTAAAAAGATGTTAGACTTAGTTCATTAAAAAGATATAGCTACAGTTACTGTCCAGATAATACACTAAGCTTAAATACACTAAAAATATGTACAATAGGTCTGGCATGTGCCTCCTGTACTGGCCCCACTCCCAAAAATAACAATTGTAAACCGCTTTGAGACTCCGACGTGCAGTGAAAAGGCGGTATATAAATAAAGATTACTTACTTACTTACCAGCTCACTAATCCATAACCGTGTATCTTGCACCAGTTGGCACAGAGGCCTTATACAGAGCAGTTCCTCTTTATATTTATTTTGTGCGTGAATATTTTGAATAATTTTCCTTTCCTCTTGCTGGTTAACACAGGATGAACTGTTTAGATGGCGTAGGTGTTTTGACAGGACATTACATAAATTTGACCATGGCTTTCTTACAGTATTTGAGGCAATGTGTGCCATCCGTTCTATCATCGCTCCCTCTGGTAAGACATTAAATAGCAAAATAAATGATTAAACAGGCCATTGACATCTTTTATTGGAAAAATCCGCCTGAACTGCTTTGGAAATAGTTCCGCATCATGAAAGGGAATTGATAATGTATCTTCTTCTATAATATCCGTCTTGTAATTGTATACATTATAATTGACACCACACACCTCTCTCTTGTCAGAAGTGCTGTTTGTGGCAGCGTGACATCCTTTTGGTCATCTGTTTTCACTCCAGCGGTGTCCCTGTCTGAGCCCTTATTGATTTCCTAACAGGATGTCCCCGTCTCTGAGTCAATCCGTTTACTTGATGTCATGAGTGGTGTAATCTTGTCATATAGAGCCACACTATTTTCATTAAATGTAAGTAGTCAAAAAGTAGCTGTTATAATAGTATGTTTTTGGTCAAAATCATTTTACTGAATTCTGCCTATAACATTGCATTGATTTGGCTGCTTGCTACACTGGGGCATTGTCAGGCGCATGTGTGCTGTGTGGCATGAAACATGCACTCGTACATGTTCGCTGTCCCTGCTGAAGAAGAGGACATGTCTCACACAGAGACAACATCAGTGTCTGCAGTGTCTGCAGTGTCTGCAGTTTGAGTCATGGTTTTTTTCTGTCATTTCTCGTCTTCCAACTAATAAATCTACATATTGCATATATGTAGTTTTTGTAAACTGTGCTACAATTTCAGATGCGTTACTCACACAGAGATGTTGTCTCTGTGTGTGTCTCTGAGTTTACAAAATCTACATATCTGCAATATGTAGATTTATTAGTTGGAAGATGAGAAATGACAGAAAAAAACATGACTCAAACTGCAGTTTTATTTTCAAGTTATGTGCGTTACCTTTCAATCAAGCTGCTACAGCAGGACCAGAACTAAAAACTATACCAACCGAAACAAAAAACTGATTTCTAAAATAATCAATTGTCATGTTTGTTTATGTCGGCCCTCCTGAAACTATTGAAACTCCAGCTGATCAAAGAGCTATATTTCCAGGTGCATAAGCCGCTCCAAGAGCATTTGCATGATGCTGCTGCTGTGCAGTTCATGGGCTGCATCCAGATCATTTCAAAACCATCTTTTTTCTTCTTTGTTATATAAAATGATCCTATAATGAGACAATGTTTATTTCCAGGTTTTATGTTTTTATTGTCATTGCAAGTAACAGCAAGTTACAAACTAGGAATTTGCTTTGGCTCATGGTGCAATCAAGTTATAAGAGTAAAAACTACAAATAAAAGCATGCATCAAAATATTGTCTTGAAATTTTCACTATATACAAGTGCACATCCTTTATGATATTATTCTCAGAAAACAATATATCCCATTTATTGCCAAATTTGTTCAGTCTATGTCTAGTGTGTTAAAAGAAATGAGCTGTTTTTCATTTGCAGAAAGGTGTTTGTCGGGTTGTGAGCCTTTGAATTAGTATTATTATTCCATTTAATAAACTGCTGTGTACTGTCCAAACGAGTCAGATGGCATCCTTGATTGCTGCAATCTCCATGTAATCGACAGAACACAAATGTTTTTCTTCCCTTTGTTCTGCCATCTCCATCTGATGTGCTTTTGTTAAATGGCCAAAGAGCTTCTGACTCTTTCTTTCACACATACAACACACACTCTCTCTGTTTCAGTCCTGTGTTAATAAATCTAATCTCAGACATAATGAGGAGAAATGATGACCGCTCTGACAGAACTGCCCTCGCAGACATTAATTTAGCGCTGAATTACGAGGACACAGATTAACACATTAACGAAGACAACACTTCAGATACAAAGGCGTGAGGCACAGATGTAATGTGCAGAATAAAAATAATATTTAGGGTTTACCACATGCACACTGGGCTGCTGTGTGCTCCTACTGTCACGCAACAACCACACTCATCTGGTGTTTTTTATTATTATGTGATTAAATAAGAACACCATTCCTTTTTTCATTTTTTACTTATATGTATTACTATTGAAATTAATAGTTGATTTAAAACAAGAACCTAAAGCACACACACATTTTCTCTCATAGTGTATTGCGTTTTTTAATGTTTTCATATCCAAATTTCGTATTCATTGCACTTCCTTATTTTCAAATACCAAATCATTCACATGGATTCAACAAATGTGATGTATCTCTGAAAAATATCCCCCATTTCCTGTGTGACACTGGAGCTGAAGTTATTCTGGGGAAAACCGTGAGGCAGATGAGGGAGAAGGGAAAGGTATATAACATGTCATGCATATGTACATATGGGACGACAGATTTATTTCCAGGTTTAGATTGATATCGCACACTCATTTCTGTAGTCCTTCCTCTAAGGAGCATCCAAGCATACACCAAGTCACCTTATATTACATGGTTGGGTAATCTAATGAATGAATCCAATACCAGCTCTGCCTCCTCACACACCAGTGTATCCATGGAACTGTCCCTGCCTCCCTCACTGAGCTCCTCACCCCACACACCACCTCACGCAGCCCCCGCCTTCCACCTCCACCCTGTGTCTCCACCAGCCCAGGCCTAAGCTCTCCACCATGGAACGCCCTCCCAGAGACTGAGAGGCCTTTAAAAGAGGCCTAAAAACCTTCCTTTTTAATCCGGCCCACTAGGGATTTTATGAGCTTTTAACCCCTTCATGTTTCTTTTTTGATATTTATCTAATTCTGATGTTTTTGCTTGTTTTTTTCTTTTCTTGTGTTTGTTTTTTGGCATTGTATTTTAATCTGTAGCACTTTCCATGGCTGGCTGGATGAATGGATATTATTATTATTAAAAATCTGCCGTTTGTCAGCCATGGATCCAAAAATGTTACACATTTCTTGTGTGATTCTCTGAGGTTTGTTTGTTGTGTCAAAACAGATGGCGGTAGTGATTTGGTCTTGATTGGCCGGTGATGGGCCCAGTTGCCGGGGGTTGCCATGTTTTACTGATTCGGATGGGCTGGTATAGCCTTCCAAAAACATTAGTGTGATGATGCGTGTCGTCCCAGTGGGGAATTGACTTGACTTGTCCAGTTATTTTTCTATTAGTTCTAGTTAGGGCTGTCGTGTTGTATCGTAGACATACGGCTTTGTGGTTCAGCTTATTCTGCAGTGTTTTATTACAGTCTAAGGTTTTATTAACTGGTGATGTTGTAAGACTGGTAACATTTAGTGTCTCATTTTAACAGACAGTTCAGTCTATTTCTGATTCTCTCTTGTAAAAAGGGCCTGTGACATGTGCGCTATTATTTCTATTCCTGTTCTCTTCCCTTGTATAAAATATATTCACATTTTATTATGCATGGTCTAGTTCGCAATTAAACTTGCCTGTATGCGCTTTGAGAGTCAATCCTCTGCATATTTCAAGAATGGGAATGATTGTAAAATAATGTAACGCATTATTTTTGACGGGCTCCAAATACTACACTGCAAAAAAATAAAATATATAAGGTAATAAATGCTTGAATAGAGTAGTTTTTTTTTTCAAATCTTAAAACATGATCATTTGGCTTGTCCCATTGTCACATTTTAGCAATAAAAATGTGTTAATACTACAGATCGGGATTTATTTTATGGAAACATGTTTTGTCTCGCACACAATGTCAATTGGCACAACACAGTCTGCGTTGAACTTGGCTTTTGTTTCTCACAATGTTTTTCTGTCTTCTCCAGACTTTAACTACAACACAGATGGCTACGAGGGAGACGCCGCAGAAGACGGAAAATCTCAGGACGGTTCTGAGCCGCTGCGCTTCATTGACGAGTCCCCAACCATGTCGCCCCAGTTGTGTGCAGCTCTGGGCCCGAACGGAGAGGCTGTGTCCCCCTCTCCCCTCGAGGGCCTTCTGCCTGGGGTAAGAGACCCCCACACAAGCCATGCACAGGGCACGTACCAGCCACATCCTCAGGCACTGGAGCAATGAGACAGATGTGGAGGAGGAGCATATGCCCTGCAGCCCCACTGGTATCCTATTAACCCTGAAATATATCAAACATATCAAACACAATATACAGCATCACAAGATTTAGATTTGAATAGTTTTTAATGCTTTATACTGTCTAATTATTAATGAAGAGTTTCACATTTGGGAATGCTGGTACTGTGATTCTAACTGTAGGGATTCTTGCTGCTGGAGTTGGATTCTTAACACATTCTGAAAACTGGAGAATCATTTTACTTTGCTTAAATCTGTTTTGTCTTTTTCTGTCTTTCTCCTTCCGAGCCAGCATAGTTGGCGCACAATAATAGGAAATTAATAAAATAATTTCACAGAGGGCCAGTGGGCCATATTAGACTCACCTTTAGACGAAACTTTTCTATCAAACTTCTCTATTCTTTTCTTTGATTATAGCTACCTCATCTGTGGATATTGTTGTCGGGTTTCACTTAGTTTAGTTTGTTTTTTTGAAGGACAATGCCAAGTTACAAAAACATGTAGCTGCATCAGATAATTATTAATCTATTATTTACTTTTAAGTTATATGCATAGAATAGAAAAGGCTTTATTATTTTTAAGACTTTTTTATTGTCAGAAAATTGGCAATAACATGTATACCATACTAAACTCTGCTAAGTAAGTATTGCAAAAGTAGAAAGAGTCTATTTTGAATAATTTGCTTTTTGAAATAACTTTATTTTAGATTTTGGACACTCTACTTTGGCCATTTTGGATCAAATAATAATGATGGTGGCTCCATCTAGTGGCTGCTTCAGAAAAGGCCTGACCCATGGGAAGTTCTGTATATAATACTTAACACAATAACTAAATCATTAACAGGAGGCAGTTTCTTTTAATGCTAATCCATAAAAAAAATAACCCCAAATGTCTGGTGTTGTGAAGATTTTCTCTTGAAATATGTTCCACTGGAGCCTCCTGTCTGTTCTGTTGAATGTGTTTCTGCTGATGCGGCGACATCTCACTCTCATCTGTAAGACATTCACCTGGCCGGTAAAATATTCACATGATCAGCATTTTTACACATACTAATCTGCGGAACAACCTTATTTTCCAATGTCAGCAGCTCTGCTATTTTTCGATTTCTTTTTTTTTTTTTTTTTTTTTTTTACTGAAAAACCTAAAATATCTGGAGCTGTAATTAAATAAATATATTTTTTGTCTGGCAATGTCTCAATGTAGCATCACCTGCATGCAAAATCCAGATTATGGCAGACCTCTGAAGCTAAGCAGGGCAGGGCTTGGTTAGTGCTGTGATGGGAAAGTGCCAACACCGTGCCAAAAGCAAGACCCTGCAAGCACATTGCTAGCTTATCGCCATCGTGTATGGAGGGAAAGCATAATGATATAAAACGGATGTATTATTTTCTATTATTAATACACATTTTACTATATTATTACTAAATATTATTTAATTAATAATAATTGAATAATGCAAAGATATTTGAATAAAATATATATTTTTCTGATTACATTTCACTATTACAGATAATAGTGGGTTCAATAATCGACCTGTCGTGGGATGCAATAGGGATATTTTTTTATATTTCTAGTTTACTAGTTTTTAGCTTTTGATAGCTTATTGATATCGGAACTGAAAAATCTGGATCAGTGCCTCTCTAAGCCATTGGCCCATAAGCTACGTTGTTTAAAAACAGTTTATTGGTCAACAAAGAATATCAATAATTTAATTACAACTGAAGAATTGGTAGTCTTGAGTCTGACTGCAGTTGTGTTGATAATGAGGTAATCTACAACCGTAGATTTTACATCATAGAATTGTAGGAAGTTGTTGTTTTGGTCAAAAAAAACGTTTTTCTTTTTTTAAAATCTCAAATTCACTGACACTTTCAAGATCCAAACAACAAATCACTTATCAAATAATGGTGTATGTTTGATTGTTGCAGGCCTTCATATGTAAATTGATTGGAAGTTTAGCTGCAAAACACAATATCAAGACCAGAGCCATTTAGGTTTCCATTTTGCCAAAGATATAACCTCATATATGCTGCTGGTAAGGCTAACCCTTTCACTTAAATTACAGCTGAAGGTTCTTTCCAGATATTGAACCATGTGAACCGTAATTACAATTAGCTGCACTAAGCAGTGCTGTAGCCAGTCTCAGCGCACCGGTCTCTCCACAGATCAATAAAGACACACAAAACAGAAATTCCCATCTGGTCAGTGACATGACCAGCTTGGAATGATTGGAGCAGGATCCAAAATGATATGATAACCAGGAAGTCGTTTTTGACCAAACAGTTTCAACTTGTTTTCACACGAGGCAATGCTCTTTCTATCTATCAAGGAAGTGCCTTGTATTTGGCTTGTTGTTAGGGGAGGGGCAGAACTGGAGAGAGGGGCAGACCCTATCGACTGAGGTGGAACACACACACACAAACCAGGAAGCCCGGCAAAGGGGAAGGGGGTGGGGTCAGTGTAGGCGGGTCTATTCTGTGTCTCTGTGTTCTCCATGTCCAGACGACTTGCTCTAAAGGAAGATAAAACGTATTTGATGTGTTCGGGACAGACCACAAAGAAGAAGGGGATAGTGAGAAGAGGGGGAAGTGGAATTTAGGAGCCCATCATGGAGGAGGAAGAGGAGAAAGTCCTGGGACTCTTGGACAGGGTGCTGGAGGAGGACGAAGAGGTGTTTGAATATGGAGATGGGGAGCTGGAGCCCATCACTCCGCTGCACAGACAGTTCAAGGTGAGGCAGGAGGATGCAGGGACAGTCTCACAAACCTGGTCCTGTAGAAGCATGGAAAACTCTCATCGGACTGGGCTCTGCGACATGTGGCTGGTGGCCATCTGTGCAGCGAGTGTGTGTGTGTGTAGCTGTGATCTGAGAAGCACATGGTTTCTCCTGACGCTGGCTTTTCGACTGGTCGCAGGAACTTTATTCACTGGATAGGGTTGAGGAGAAATGGAGACACACTGTATACTTGGAGCACTTTTCAGAGCCTATTGGGTTGTGCTGTGTGTTTACTGGAACAAGTGTCCGGCGTCAACATCAATGTGTTTAAAACCTACACAGCAGAGCCATACAAGGCTTTATACTTTAGTTCAGGAAACATAAAAACGTAATAGTATTGAGGATCAGAGGACAGTAGATGACATGCGAGAGGAGTTCATGTCGATATTCATGAAACGTAAAATGTACAATTTGTCTAAAGTATTTAGTCTTAAGTATTTGGTCATTCCCAATCTTCTTATGCAGAGGAGCTGGTTGCCACGGAAAACTCCTCTCCATCCACATGTATTTCTCATCTTGACCCTGTAGCCACACACAGTAGCTCTTTGTGCAGCTGAAGGAAAGTATCCCACTGTCAGAGCGGAAAAAGGTTTTGCACTGACTTTATGCCTCACACTTCTCATACAGCTGCGAGATGTTTGTCACGGCACCACACATCAGCAACTGGATTTATTCACTTTCACTGCAGTTAACCATTATGCTTTTTGTTTTATATTGGTCTCAGCAGAAAACATACTGGTAGTGAAAGTTATTGAATTGGTGAGAGGCTTGAATGAGTGCCAATGAGTATTCTTTGGACATTTGTTTACTTCAGAGCTACCCATATATGTAACTAAACCTTCTTGTGATCTGAGATGATTGGGATGCAATGAATTAGCTCATAACTCTTATCGTATTTGAAACAGTGTAAGGAACGGACTGCATGTTAATGTTTAATCTCTGATCTTTCTTGATCTGCTCTTTGCTCTCTTGAAGTAGATTCAGCACATGCTGATATACAGATTAAGTTTTTGAAACTCGCTGAAGAGGTTTATATTTTTGATATTTAGAGATATAATATGTATAATCGATCTGCTCCTTTCTGATTATGGAAATGTTAGAAGAATTGAAAACTTGTTCAGCTATGCATTTCCGTGAAATAAAAGAACCTAATATATCATCAAATGTACTAATCAAACTATTGCAATCAGAATCAAAAACAGATTTTTTTTAATGAACTAAGGCTATAAGGCTGTTCACAATAATAATAATAATTCTTGTTTGGTTTATTGGACTAGTGACCGATACAGAAAACAAACTGTCATACAGTAGTCTGATGCATCATGGGGTTTATAGCCATAGCTAATTTGCAGCACTTTGCAAGCTCAATGTTAGAAACAAAGTAAACACACTAATCATGAATAAAATACACAGTAAAATATTCAACGTTTTGTCTCAGAATTTAAGTGCACAGCTTACAGCTTCTCTGTAAGCAGTGTTAGTCTGTGGAACATGCTCCCGTTCCACAGACTAACACTGCTTACAGAGAAGCTTACGGTCTCCACTTTCAGCTGCTCTACCATTGTCCTGCAGTTTACTGACATAGCTGCTCAAGGGCTTTGGTGCCCTTAAAAGTTTGTGTGAAATTGTGGATCTCTTTGACTCATATAACCGTATAACCTGAACATGAGTAGATCATTTAGGATGTGACGCTCGAGTCTAGTGCTTGTTAATTTTTCCTGGAAGAGCTCGGAGTAAAGTCTCCAAAGAGGAAGTTAGCCATGTAAATACATGCAAGCACATTTACCAAAAAAACCCACGTAAGTCTGGTACAGTTCAGTACAGTTTATAAACATTTATAATCTGTGACATAATAGTTTTTTTCCCATGCTCCCCAACGTAAATGTGTTTTCCCATTACTTCATATTCTGGGTGTTGACAATATTCTTTTTATTTAAGTTTATTTATACAATTCATCCAAACACACACACACACATGCGCATAGTGGGCGGCACGGTGGCTGAGTGGATAGCACTCTCGCCTCTCAGCAAGAAGGTCCTGGGTTCGAATCCCGGCTGGACTAGGGCCTTTCTGAGTGGAGTTTGCATGTTCTCGCCGTGTCTGCGTAGGTTTCCTCCGGGTGCTCCGGTTTCCCCTACCACTAAAAATATGTACAATAGGTCTGGCATGCGCCTCCTGTTCGGCGACCCCGCTCCCATCTCTGTGTGGAGTGAGAGGACAAGTGCCCAAAAAATAACAATTGTAAACCGCTTTGTGACTCTGGTCTGTGAAAGGCGGTATATAAATAAAGCTTACTTACTACTACTTACTTACATAGTTACACACACCCACACACAGATCCATTTAAGATGACACTTATTTTCAGTATATAGCAATAGAGCCTTGTTGTTGTAATATAGCCTCTACCTATTTATTAGGATGGCGAACAAGGCATATACTGTACATACTATATACTGAAAATAAGTATATATTTTTATATACTTTGTATTTTTATTTTCTAATCTATTTTATCTATATACTACTGAAAAAGCAACTGCATTACATAATGTTAAATGTGATATTTCCAATTATCTGTGTTCATTTGATTGTTATATTGAATGAAGAACGGACTGTGTGTGTGTGTGTTTTCTTTCCTATAGGGAGACATTGAGAAAGGACTGGAGATGAAGAAGCTGGTGCTGTCTGGGTTCTTGGCCAGTGAGGAAATCTACATCAACCAACTTGAAGCACTCTTATTGGTAATACTCAATATAATACATATATAAGTTTAGTAAATACATGCTACACCAGCTGTTGCATGTTGTACAGTTTGATTGGCTGACCATGTATCATGTATTAAAAGCATGACCACATTGACAGCAGCTTCCTGGAACATGGCTGAAGATGGTTCCCCTTACTGAACCGTATATCATATCCTATTAGCCTGCAACATGTGGCTCTTTGACCGACTGTGGATTGCAGCATACAGTAATATGTAACACGATCCAGCACTTGCGGCCACTTATTGTTCCACGCTACAAAACCTGTGCTAAATTACAAAAGGTCTGTCTACTGGTGAGACCGGGAGTAACAAAACATTAGTGAAAAACAGTTTCACTACAATTTTCAATTCCTCCTCTGTGACTTCATGAAACATTGGCCAATAAATATCCGGTTCCTGTCTACCTACACTTCCACCATAATTATAATGCTTTGGTTTTATACAGTGCTTTACACTTGGGAAAACACATTTACGTTGGGGAGCATGGGAAAAAACTATATATAGGCTGTAAAACAGCTGCAGTACATTCAACATGCAGCAGCTCGAGTCCTGACCAGAACTAGGAAGTACGACCACATTAGTCCAGTTCTCAGGTCTCTGCACTGGCTTCCTGTTCCTCAGAGAATAGACTTCAAAGCAGCTTTACTTGTGTACAAGTCTCTCCATGGTCTCGCGCCAAGGTACATCCACGACATGTTTGTGCCATATGAACCGACCCGGACTCTGAGGAGCAAAGGAACTGGACTCCTGTTAGTGCCCAGAGTCGGTACTAGACATGGGCAAACTGCATTTCAGATTCATGCAGCTAGAGTCTGGAACCATCTTCCTGAGGATGTGAGACAGGCGTCTACTCTGGCATCTTTTAAATCTAGGCTCAAAACAATTCTGTTTAGCTGCGCATATACAACTGAATGATTTTATCTTTTCATCTTTGTTTTTATCTTTAATCTTTTTAATGCACTGTGACTATTTATGATTTTAGTCCCATCTGTGATTTTAATGTTTAAAGGTTTGTAATTTTTGTGATTTTATTTTTAATGTTTTTAATATATCTTGTGCTCTTAATGTGTTTGATTTATGCATGATGTGATAGGGGATGTGAAGCGCTTTGCGTTGCCTTGTGTAGGAAAGGCGCTCTACAAATAAACGTTGATTGATTGATTGATATTGCAGCATTCAATCTCTGTAAACTACCACTGTAGCCACAGCTGCCCTGGGGCAGGCTGACAAGCAAGGTTTCCAATTTCACACTCTCTGGTGGTGTCTAGCACTTTAGAGCCGTGGCACCTAGTATTGCCAGTGGTCTCCCATCAGAGGACTGACCAGGAGCAACACTGAGCAATACATGACTAATAAATGTATAATTATTACTAGCATATTGTTAAGTTTTGTTTGTTGTTTGTGCTTGTTTTTCATACAGCATAGCAAAACTTCAGATTTCTCTTTTTGGACTCACTGCTCAATTCAATTACATTTTGTATAGCCCTATAATTACAACAGAAGTTGTCTCGGAGGACTTTACAAAGTTGTCGATTCGCCAACAACAGATGAGAGAATCAAATGGTTCGAACAAAGGGGAAAAAGTGAGAAACCTCTGGGAGGATCACAGGTGCAGGAAAAAGAGGCCAGATTCCCATTATTACAGCAATAAACAAACAATGGGACAGCGAGTGGATAGAAATAAACATACTACAGCTGAAGTCATGTTCACTTCTCTCAGCAAAGTGTCTCCATCTGCTGCTTGACAAACAAACCGTTTTGTTTTACTTAAAGTTGTTTTTCTCAGTCTTAAAGGGACTTTTTGTTGCATTATTCATTCACTCCACACTCAGTCAAGATAAGTTACTATTGTATCCACACAAATGACTTGTATGTGGACTGGAAATGTGGCTGAATGCGTTCCAGCAACACAACAGCAGGTTCTATCAATTTTAGAGCCTCAGCGTTCCACCGTAGCACCTGGTATTCCCAAGTGCTACAGTGAGAGCTGATGAAATTGACAAGCAACTAGGAACAGGAATATATTGTAAAAAACAGAAATCACTTGGATGTCATTTATATTTCCGTGCAAATGCCTTTTTTGATGAGTGCATATATTGAATACGAACATCTTTTCCCCTTGTACAAAGGCCGTACTTGCGTCACCAGTGGCAGTCTCTGGTCCTTTGCTTGAGTGGGAGTCTGACTCATCACAAACCCAGTGACGTACGCGACTGTACACTGTAATTTAGTGTGGCCCCCACCGTACTCCATGTCCACTTCATCTGTAAATAGACGGAGCTGGTGCAGCGAAAGTGTGAAGGACATGTGGTGTGGGTATAGGTCAAGATGGTGCATTCAATAACTGTATTAAATTAAAATTATCATTAAGAATGTTAATATCCTCCACAAGGGAAGGGTTGACTGTTTTGTTTTAAGCAGTATGAGTTAAAGGTTACAGAAGCCAACCATGGACAGCACGACATTGAGAACCGTGATGTCGCCCGGCATGGCGCAGCCGGGGCCCCACCCTGGAGCCAGGCCTGGGGTCGGGGCTCGCAAGCGAGCGCCTGGTGGCCGGGCCTTAGCCCACGGGGCCCGGCCGGGCTCAGCCCGAAAGGATGACGTGGGCACTCCCTCCTGTGGGCCCACCACCTGCAGAGGGGTCCGTGGTGGCGAGGTGCAGAGAGGACTGGGCAGCAGTCGAAGGCGGAGACCTCGACGACCCAGTCCACACACCCAACATCTGGCTCTTGGGACGTGGAACGTCACCTCACTGGGGGGGAAGGAGCCCGAGCTTGTGGGGGAGGTTGAGCGATACCGACTAGAGATAGTCGGCCTCACCTCCACACACAGCTTGGGCTCTGGAACCCAACTCCTTGAGAGGGGTTGGACGCTCCACTTTTCTGGTGTTTCCCGCGGGGAGAGGCGACGAGCTGGGGTGGCCATACTCATTGTCCCCCATCTCAGCCGCCACGTGTTGGAGTTCTCCCCGGTGAATGAGAGGGTCGCGTCCCTCCGCCTCCGGGTGGGGGACAAGTCTCTCACTGTTGTGACGGCCTACGGGCCTAACGGTAGTGCAGAGTACCCGGCCTTCTTGGAGTCCTTGGGAGGGGTACTGGACAGTGCACCGCCCGGGGACTCCGTTATTCTCCTGGGGGACTTCAACGCCCATGTGGGAAATGCCAGTGACACTTGGAGAGGGGTGATCGGGAAGAACGGCCCCCCTGATCTGAACCCGAGCGGTGTTCAGTTGTTGGACTTCTGTGCTAGTCACGGCCTGTCCATCACGAACACCATGTTCGAGCACAAGGGTGTCCATCAGTGCAGGTGGCACCAGGACACCCTAGACCGGAGGTCGATGATCGACTTTGTAGTCGTATCATCTGACCTTCGACCGCGTGTCTCGGACACTCGGGTGAAGAGAGGGGCGGAGCTGTCAACAGATCATCACCTGGTCGTGAGTTGGATCCGCTGGCAGGGCAGGAGGCCGGTCAGACCTGGCAGGCCCAAGCGTGTAGTGAGGGTTTGCTGGGAACGTCTTGCTGAGCCCCCTGTCAGACGGACTTTCAACTCACACCTCCGGGAGAGCTTCTCCCAGGTCCCGGCAGAGGAGGGGGACATCAAGTCCGAGTGGACCATGTTCTCTTCCTCTATCGCCAATGCGGCGGCTCGTAGCTGTGGTCGCAAGGTCTCTGGTGCTGGTCCCGGCGGCAATCCCCGAACCCGGTGGTGGACACCGGCAGTAAGGGATGCCGTCAGGCTGAAGAAGGAGTCCTATCGAGCAATGATGGTTCGTGGGACTCCTGAGGCAGCTGTCCAGTACCGGCAGGCCAAACGTGCTGCGGCCCGGGCCGTTGCAGAGGCAAAAACCCGGGACTGGGAGGAGTTCGGAGAGTCCATGGAGCATGACTATCGGTCGGCCTCGAAGAGGTTCTGGCAAACCGTCCGGCGCCTCAGGAGGGGGAAGCAGTTCTTTGCCAACACCGTGTATGGTGCGGGTGGAGGGCTGCTGACCTCGACTGGGGATATTGTCGGGCGGTGGAAGGAATACTTCGAGGTTCTCCTCAATCCCCCCGTCACGTCCTTCGTCCAGGAGTCAGAGGCTGAGGATGTTGGGGCGGATACTTCCATCTCCCTGGCCGAGGTCACCAAGGTGGTTGGCAGCCTCCATGGTGGCAAGGCGCCGGGAGTGGATGAGATCCGTCCTGACTATCTAAAGTCTCTGGATGTTGTAGGACTGTCTTGGCTGACACGTCTCTGCAACATCGCGTGGCGATCGGGGGCGGTGCCAATGGAGTGGCAGACCGGGGTGGTGGTCCCTCTCTACAAGAAGGGGGACCGGAGGGTGTGTTCCAATTATCGTGGGATCACACTCCTCAGCCTCCCCGGTAAGGTCTACTCCAAGGTACTGGAGAGGAGGCTACGTCCGATGGTCGAATCTCGGATTCAGGAGGAGCAGTGTGGTTTTCGTCCCGGTCGCGGAACACTGGACCAGCTCTATACTCTCCATCGGATACTCGAGGGTTCATGTGGAGAGAGCGGAAGGACTGGGGTGAGTGTGACGTCTGGAGGTGTTGGAGAGGAGACGATCTGCTGCGTTTTGTACCAGTTGAAGCCGATTGAGGAGTGATTGTTAAGTCCAGTGTAGAGGGCGTGTACAGTAGTCTATCCTCGAGCTGATTGAAGGCAAAATGGCTTTTCAAGGTCAGCATCGGGTCAAGAGAGACTTGATCTTGCTGAGGAGCCTTAGCTGGGAAAAGCCCGCTTTCACAACTGCACCTATCTGTTTATCAAAATTCATAGTACTGTCAAAAATAACACCCAGGTTGGCCGGATGGCGGGAGGCAAAACTAGAGTTGAGGAGGAACAAAACTGGGGGGAGCATAGTGAGGTGAGTCCGGGGTGAACATGATTACTCAGTCTTTCCCTTCATTCAGGTGAAGGAAATTCTGGCGAGCCATTGTTGAATGTGATATCATTTCACATCACAATTCG